TGTCCTCACTGGATCTGCAGTGAGACCTGGCAGATCACTATGTTCTTGCTACTGTTTTTCAATAGCATTTGACCATGTGAAAGTGATTCCCTGCACTATTACACACCACTTAGCCCTAGTGGAGGGTCCTGTAAATGCCACTGAACGCTGCCATAGTACTTTTGATGTGGCAGAATCCAAACTTCTTCCAACTGTATGTGCAACTGTGGAAGGATTAGGTGCAGCTAATTCAGAAGTTGTTCAACTCCATCATCTGTAAGTGTGGATTTCAATTGACTTGTGTTCAGTGTGAAAGTGTATTTCTTTCAAAGCTGGCTATAACAAACTGAAGCCAAGTGCTGCAGTTACTTCAGCACACATAATTTACAGTGGTGTGGGGAAGTAACCCCTTTCATCCCAAAAGAGATGGATGTCTGTTGGACACATTCTTTTCTTGATACCTTTGTTACATGGCGTAACTGGTTTCTACTGGTGTGAGAGTACAATATATCTGGTGGTCTCCCATAGATAAATGTGTGTTTCATAGGAGTGACCTGTCTCATGTCTCAATAGTGCAAGAGGGAGCTCCAGGAAAATCAAAATCCTATTTAATTTTGCAAGAGGGAATGTGTCTCATAGTGCCTAGACTGTCATCATCCCCATGCAACCTTTGTATTCTCTACACATCTGCTTCAGTTCTGCCTGATGTGCTGAAGAGATGTCATCCACAAGAAAACCCCTATCAATGCACTGGGCACAGAAGAAGTTCTGGTAGATCCAGAAGCAGTCAGAACCTGACCTTGACTGAACTGGTCATGTAAAGATACCAAAGCATCTATTATCGCATCAGGTTTAGTTGTATCTGTTCCATCTCACAGAAAAATAACTGTAAAGGGAATTATTTTATTAGCTATAATTTTAGTTAATCACTTTACTCCCTGTCAGAATAATCTTGCCTATTTATATGAGTGATTATAGTAACATAAATCTTTTAGTATTGTGGTTTCTGGACTAACTTGCTTGTGGTTCATTACAACAAGGTTTTTGTTTGGCTGTTACAAAACCAGTGTTTTTTTTGGTCAACTTGGTTTGGAGGAAATTATCTGTGGCAAAGTCCCCAACACAGGGAAATGCATCAGTTCTCAAAGTTGTGTAAGGCAGCTTCCCCAGGCTGCCCAGGATTACACAGGAGTGGTGCAGTTAAAAAGAAAAAGCATGTTCAGGGAAAGAGTTTCAAAGAGACCCTTGTCTTTCTTTTTAATTTAGTTCTGTTCCATGTTTTATTCAGTTCACATTTTAATCATATTTCAAGACTGAAGCAGTCATTCAGAAGAGGAGGGAATCATCCATTCACCTTCATGGATGTAGTGATATATGTTGTAGTTTCTGAGTTACCTTACTTCCCAGTGGTCCCAGCTACAACCTAAGGAGGATGTGTCCCTTGCTGGCTAGTCCTACTGTTCTCTCCCCACTGTGCAATACCATCTCACCCTATCTGCAGTTCTCAGAGGGTGCATCTCTACAATTGCAATGGAGTATGGCATTGAGATGCCAGAGTTGTAAATGAGTTGCATTGGTATTACCTCCTCTGTGCCTGTCCATGTGCAGATTATAGCTCTGGGAGGATGAAACACAACCATCTTCATATTCCAACAAGGTATCCTGCAGTGCTGACAAACTTGCACTGCATCTGGGTAGGCTCTGGTCTCTCTCTCCAGCATCTCTGCCCTCTGCTCCCAGCATGTGTTGTGGACATGTGCCCTGACTACCTTGAGAGTTCTGATTTTCTCATAGAACCCCAAGTTAAAGCAACAGTTTGCTCTTAACCTATTATGACTCATAAACCAGACCATTAGTTCTTGAACAAAACATTTAGGAGTAACCCCCCATTCTTTTAAGCATCCATAGCTTAGTAGTTAGTCCCCTGCCCTTCACTAGGGCTCTTCAAAGGCCAGCACCAGAGTACTGCACACATCTGGCTTTGCTTGTTGTGAGATCATTCCTGTTAATAGAGATTGACTATCCTCAAACCAGTAGGTGTTATCAACAGGGGCCTATGAATCTAGTTGAAATACTCCATGCTTTTTCTTATGAGGGGAGAGTGTGACACTTCAGAAGACTTATCTTCCCTCTTTTGGTATTGAGGATTTACATTAATTAGTTCTCCCTGCCTTAAGTCTGTGAAGGGAGTGGACTTGTATCTTGCTTTTCCAACTCTGTAGACAAAAAGTCCTTAGCTGTACATACAGCTGTCAGAAAATTCATACAGTACTTTTTGAGTTTTCCACAATTCTGGAGCATCTGTCACGCTGTCACACAGTAAATATTGTTTTACTGTATTATTTACTGATTTATTATATTATACTATAGACACTTTCTGCTAATCCATTCAATAATGGCTATTTAGGGTTTGATTTTTATCACATTAGCAAGATTTTGAAGAACAGGGTAATGTAGACTACAAAGAAATTTTTCCTGCCCCTTCAGCCAAGGAAGGAACTGTTTAAGTACAAGCAAAGATGTGTGCCTGTAGATAGCAACGAAAAGTCAGACAAATGACAGAAATTGTGGTGTTCAAGACCAGGTTGCACAGAGCCTTGGGCGACATGGTTTAGTGCAAGGCATCCCTGCCCATGGCAGTGGTTGGAACTAGATGATCTTAAGGTCCTTTCCAACCCTAGCTATTCTGTGATTCTATGAAATTGCAAGTCCTGTTCAGTTAATTGAGAAACAACAATTCAATCCTGCTGTAAAAGTCTAGTACTTTCAGGGTGGTAGTGGAGGATGGTTTGGTTTTTGACTCTGTGAGCTGGTTTGCCAGTTCTGACTCCTGCTATCTCAGCAGCCACAAAACACAACCACCACCAATGTGGCTGTAGAAAAATCTACAGCGAATTTTCCCATCAGGGACCATGAATGCTGTGTCATGCTGCGTTTCTGAGAATGAATTCTGAAATTGTATCTGGTGCTGTGTACCTTTATCATTTACTTCTTCCCTTCCTCTTCAGGAGAAAGTTTCATGAAGGGAACTTTGTAGACTTATTTACATCTCAGTGCAGTGTGAAGGGGTACAACAGCACCTTCTTCCTCAATGAAGCTGCAAGCTTCCATCTTGTCTTCTTACAGCAATTTTTTAAGACAAGAAGGCTTTTGGGATCATACCTGCCTGCCCCGTGAACAACTTATGGATTGGACCAACAGGCTCATGCATATTAGCAGGAGAGCACCGATCTCAGAGGTGTTGTAATCCCACCAGCTTCAGGAGGAAGCCAAGGAGGAGGGAAGAGAGAGCCCATCCACAAGAAAAAAATCTGCAGTACAGTTTTGTGCTGGTTTAGACAGCAAAGAGTACACATAGGAGAAGAACAGTATAATGCCCTAATGGCAAAAGGTTATATGTGCAGCCCTGCCATCCTATTAAATATCAGCAAGTCCAACCACAGAACACAGTTAATATAAAATAGGCTTGATTGTCTTTGCTGCCCTTGGAACTGCTTGTTTATGTAGAGACAATTGCAGTAATTCCCTTCAGTGGAGGTTCTGAGAAAGAAGAAAAGCACTTCTGTTCATTTTGGGACTACAGGACACATCTGATGTTTTGATTTTTCATGTCATATACTCAGAGGATATGGAGGTGCTCCTCTGTTCCTGTGGTCTGTGGGGCCATCCAGTTTTCCATCTGAGGTCCCCTCAATAACCTCATTAAGGGATTTGCCACCTTGACAGACTGGTGAGCTCAACAGGACAGCAGAGAACTGTGAAGCAGCACCCAAAATAATGAAATAGCACTAAAATCTTTGCCTGCAAGGAGTCTGACTGGTGAGATATTTAATATTTATTATGAATATTTATATATATTGTACATCTATCTGCATAAAGCAGTAGTGCAACCGTGGAATGACACACCTGGGAGAAGGAGGAACTTGAGTGGTTTAAGACTTGGGCAGCGCAGACGCTCCCAAAGGCTCCCGAGGGCATGGCATAAGGAGAAGGGAGGGGGAGACCACAAAATGGGGGGAGGCTGGGATGATAGCACAACCTTGCACACTCCCTTTCTGCTGGTCCTACTGACAGGCTGTCTCCAGGCTTCAAGCAGGCATCAGGAGACCCATCGAGAGTCTTTATGTGGAAGCCCCTGCTACATGTCCTCAGTGGCGCAGTGATGATCCAGTGACCATAAACTGAGGTCTGGTTCCAATGGGAGCACCTTGGATTTGTTTCTTGTGATTGAACTACGATTGCAGCAGTTAAGACTTTGCCATGGTTGGAGCACTAGGAATGTCTCACTTTCCCATGTGTCTGCCTTGGTGTCCATTAACATGTGAGATTACCTGACTTCCTTTCCCTCAGTCATCACACTCTTGGTGGTCTTCTTTCCTTACCCAGTGTCCTGTTTTGTTTTGTTTATCACCAACACTGTAAAATTTTGTTTAAATAGAAGGCATTGAAAAGAGATGTGAAGGACAGGCAACACACACAGAAAGCCGGACTCAAAATGTAAACTAGATGGCTTTTGAAACTGGCAGTGGATAGTGCAAACTTCCTGTGTGTCAACAGTTAAAAAATAAAACAAAGAATAAAGATAGGGAAATAACATAAAACATTTCTTCAGAAGAGTGCAGTTTAATGGGAAGCAGTGCTGACAGCACACAGTGGTTGAGACCAATATATTTTTGTGCCCAACTTTTCTTCTTGCTGTTTGATGTGTTATCTCTCTGGGACAGCACCATACTCCTATTTCAGCTCATCGCAATGACATCATGGAGCTCCTCCCAGAGGTGCTGCTCTCTAAGGCAGACTGTGTGGTATTGTGCAGTGTTTGCCTTCCTTCTTTTTAACCAACTTAATTGTATCTGTGCTCTGGACTTTCTTCTGCAGCCATTTCAAATTGCTACAAGGATAAATCAAGGGTATTTGAATATGGATATTCGATGTGACTTCTCATAGGAAGCAACGGCTGCTTTTGGTATCTGAAGGGGGACATTAAAAAAGCTCAAACCACTGGAAGGACAATAAGTATGGTTTGGATTCTAGTTTATTACGCAAATAATGCCATTTAGTGCTAGATAGGAAACAATTTGGAAGTGTTAGCTCAAATGTCTAAACTACCAAAAGTTCTTCCACCAGCTTGCACCCTTGTAGGCAATTTCTTTGTGTGGTCTCTCTGCTCACTGTTCATATTGTGCCTGTTGGATAAGAAGAGACTGTCAGCGTCCTTAAACTATCACAAACATCACTTTTTTTTTTTTAATGGAAAGAAAATAATTCAGTAAACTTTATAGTTTGATTACTCATCAAAACCAGTATAATGCCTGGTATTTATAGCCAATTTCTGGTGACTATCCAGCAGATCAGAATCTTGTTAGAAAAATGTTATTATTAATAATAATCCCTTATTAGCATAACTTTGAGAAAGAAAAAGGTGAATATTTTTTCTCTGAGAGCTGGCTCAGGAAGTAATATTTTTTGATTGTGTATCTGAGAACAACAAACTCAGATATTACTTAAACAATTCCTTTTACAGATTATAGTTGTGCTGGAAATATGCTTACTTTATTATCTATAGTGCTGGTCTGCAAGCCTAGCATACTGTAAACTTGCTCTGATGACTGTCAGCAGTTCTGTTGCAAATATAATACTGGATTTGTGGGAGTTCTTACTGAAAGTTTATTTGAAGTTTAATACCAAAGGGTCAACTTGAGGTACTTACAATTAAGCCCCCCTTTGTTTCTTAATGTCATAAAGGAATAAAAAAACAGTATTTGTTTTCCTCCAACTTAATTCTGATATAGGAATACTATTTCAGAATGCCTCCCATTCATGGTACTTTTTTCTGCTAGTTGTCTTTGGGGTTTCTGGACGTGAGGGCTGTGCTTTGGGTTGGATATGCTTAACAGTTCCTTAAGGCTAGTGAGTTCCATTACTGCACGCACACATTCCTAATCACATTGAAGTGACAATAAATATCAGCTCAATTTAATTATTTGCATCTGCCTACTAATATTTCAGTCAGTTTGGAAGAAGCCACCTGTGGGATATTTTTCATTCCTTTCTTGTATGTGACAAATATGGATAGATAATCCAAGGTGCTTCAAAGAACTGGTCAGGGAATTGCTTATTTTCCTCATGAAAGGATTTTGGTAAATGAAAATGCTTGATTTTTATGAAAATCAAACAACCCCAAAAGGTCACAAGTCCCAAAACTATGTAGGGATTTTCTTTATGAGGAAAAACACATCTAAACCAGATCTTTTAATTAAAAGTTCTGTATTTTTACATTTTACCAATGTAGTTTCTTTAAATTTTTTGTTTTGGTTTGGTTGTTTGGTGGGTTCAAGCAACTTCAGTTTCTGATTTTCTTTCTATGAAAAAATGTATTCACCTATCTTGAAGTTTGTTGACGTATGTTTTATAAGGTTATAGACCTGAAGCATTAACATTAACATTAAGGGGGGGGTGTTAAATATTTTTTAAAAAACTGAAGGCAGTTTAATCAAGTCACGCAAATAAAATACCCTGTTTTTTGTCAGAGACTAAGTGTGAATATTTTTAGATCCGGAGGAAAATGTTTTGGATATGTATAAACTTCAGTATTTCTAAGACATAATCTGGTTTGCTGACTAAAAATTTCCAAAACAGTGTAATAAACTGGAAGATTTAGTTACCCTGTGTGGCATCTCTGTGAGAGTATTTTATTCCTGCACCATGAAAAACCCCCAAACCCAAGGGTTGTTTTTTTTAAAAAAGGAAAGAATATCATGTGTTTTATGGGACAGTTCCCCACCCCTCCAAAGTTATATGCCAAAAAAAAAAGAAAATCTATCGAAAAGATCTGGGGATATATGATGGAAAATATGTTCAGATATTTCTCTACCATGTGACAGTTGAATTGCTTGGTCAAAGTGAAAGGAGAGAGGGTGAGTTCAGCAAAATGGGATTAATAGTCTCAGTATGTTAACAAAGTATGGAGCTGACTTGGAAGAACAGCTGTCAAATATACAGGAATAAGTGAAAATTATTAAACATTTAAAGGCTTATGCTTTCATGTTGCTGAAGGGAGATAACCTTCTAATAAAGGTGAAGCAGGTTCCGTGTGGTGGGGAATGCATTAGGCCGGGTGCACACTAAACTTCTGTTTCTCAAACTATGGCATTCATGGAAAGGCAACCTTGAACAGCTGAATCTACTTTTTAAAACCAATTTTTCACTACTAATACATGTTTCTGGAAAGCATGCATTTATTTGCCTTTCCTGCCAGCAGCTGCTCATGCTCCAGAGCAGAGCTGGAGTCAGTGTTCACACTTCTAGCCAGTATTTGCAGATGCTTTTCACTCCCTCAGTCTGGTGGGGCTTAATGGCTTCTCCCAGTGGTGAAATGCTGATCAACATGGCAGCACCATCAAATGGAAGGATTTACTGCTGATAGCCATGAAGGCATGGTTTGTGTGATCTCAGATGAAGATTGTTTGAAAGAAGGGAAGGATAATCACATGAAGATGGATAGACCCAAATAAGAGAGGCATGCATGTCTGCAAAAAAAATTGAGATATGTTTGCCTTACTGTAAGGAAATCTAGGAGTTCCTAGAGGCCTATCATGAGAGATGGTTGCCTCCATCTTTGTCCTACTCTGCAGCAAATAAATGTAACCAGTTTGATCAGCCCTTTCAGAATGAGGCTCAGTACAGGGTGTAATAGACTGCCAAGTACAGGACAAATGGGTGTTTTTGTGTTTTTATCCTAGCCTAATTGAGGTGGACACATCAGAACAGTTTGACCTCTGAAGTCTTTCCTTATTTCAAGTCTGTTAATAATAATGAGGCTCCCAGGCAGAATGATCTCCCCTTTTCTGTCATATCTCCACTTTCTTTATCCATTCCTGGCTCCCTGCCTCTTTGTTCTCTGCACCAAAAGCTCATTTACTTGTTTTCTTGCTGGCTGTAGCTGCTGGGGTTCACTTCCTTTCTGTGCATTTTCTTCAAAAGCCTTGAAATGTCACATAACTCTATGTCCTGCTGAGATGCTCTTGTCTTATTAATGTACCAATGGGTGTTTTTTAATGAGAAAACATGAAAGTACCATAAGTCTTCCTCTGCGCCTCCCCAGACTGATCATGAGAAATTGATGAATTGTGTGAAGTCTGCAAGACATGGGAATTCATTTTAAGTCTGGGCAAATATGCACAAATAAGAGTTTATTCTTTAGGAAATGGTTTGAAATTGGCTTTTCCAAATAGCATGCTTTCAGTAAGGCTCAGGGCTCTGAGGCTGAATACAGTATCCCCGAATAATATGACTAACGAATTCCACTAAAGGCAACATAGTTCATGGACTTTGGAATAGATGCTTACATTACCTGTTCTCACTGGCTTTCATCTCTGGAGTTAACAATTTGGAGCTCATATATATCCTCTAGCTCAGGAAGTGGGTGCCTACTCTCCACTACTGATCTCCTGAGGAAATGATATAGCATTGCCCCAGTCATGGGGACCAGGTTCCTCATCTCAGGGCTGGGCTTGTTTGTAGGCTGAGGTAGCAGGCATCCCACCAGTGCTTTTGAAAATCTGGTAGGTATTTGCTCACAAATTCAGGAGCCTCACTGTCAAGTCTTCCATGCCAAACTCTTGGTCTAAGTTAACGTTTGCTTTGGCTCCACTTTTTGTTCCCCAGTATTCATTGTGTAAGAGAGAGGAGAAGGCAGGAGAGTTCAAAAACAAGCATCAGGAGGGTAGTCAGCCATCTAACTGAAAGGACTAGATTTTTCTCTGCATAGTGTTTTAAATAGGTCTGCAGAGACCTGTTTGTCTGTCTGCAGTTAAACTGTGTGAGGCAGGCCTGTTTGTTGCAGCTCACTGAAGGAACGATTCACCGCTTTCCTTAGTGGAGAGCTTCTTTTGCTTCTTTCTACCCACCATGCTTGGTCTGTGTGTGACTTTGAATGAAGGGATATGGTTGGTATCAGTAGGAATCATAGCATTTCTAGGACTAGGGCAAAATACCCAGAAGCACAGATTTCAACAGCCTCAACTTTGGGTTAGCAACAAGGCAGTTGATATGATGGGGGGATTTGTTTGTTTTCTGAGTGGCTTCTTAGTGTCAGGCTGGAGAGCTGATAACCACTGTTTGTGTCTACATTACTTTCAGGAGAAACTGAGGCACAGATTCTGGACCTTAGGGGTCACAGGGTGCTCACACTGGACTGTAAGATAAGGTGGGGATATGAGCTAGGCTGCACCTGGGAGCATGCCTTTGACTGCTGTGTGCCTTTCCTGAGCAGTGTTCTCCTGTCCTGCAGTGCAGTATCCTGGTGTCCCTGCTGCTCCAGGACTCCCATGCAAGGTGGAGCCACTCAGCACAGCCATTGCCTTTGAGCCTGGCTGACTGCACTGGGGGCATCTCCAAGCAAGATGCGGCTCTGTGCTGCAAGCATGTAAGAGGCTGCGCTCTCAGCAAAGAGGAAGTCCTGTGCTCAGTACCTGAGATTTGCTGTGCTCTGCATCATATTGTCAACTTCGTAGCCGAGAGTCATTTGCCAGTGTGAAACAAGAAACCATGGGGCGGAGTCCACCCCATATCATCACCTACAGGCAATTCTGTGTAAGAACATGCAAGGGCAGAAGAAAGGTTCACCTAATCACTATCCTGTCACCAGTGATAGCCTGGAAAGAAGTGTAGTGATCCCTCCCTGGGATACTCCCAAGATCCAGGTATTTTTTGCTCAGGGACTCACTAAGACAGTGTCCCTAAGGCACTTCCTTTGTAGTCAAGAGTCCTTAACAGATTTTTTCATTGTAAATTTGCCCCTTTTTAATAGACATACATTTTTTTTACATGTTCCCGTGTTAAGATGTTTTACAGCTTAACTGTGTATTATAGTATCAAGAATCTCTCATTTACTTTGAATTTCTTGCCACCTGCTAATTTTATCTAATGCCCACAGCTATAAGTGGGAATTATATTTTAAGACCAGAATATACCAAAATCTTGCTCAGCATGTAATGTGTACTGAAATGTGTGCTGCATGGGCAAATGGGAATCATAAAACAGAGATTCCCCTGGTCCATGCTTTGTGAAGGCACATCACACTACCACTACAACTCCTATATTGCAGGAAGCGTTTCTAAAGAGTGGCTCACTTTGTATTGTCATGCACAAAAAAATTAAATCCTGAAATCTAATGTGGAGCCTCGGGGAAGAGATGTAGGAAATGAATGATGAGGAAGGTTCAGCTGAGACTTTATCTTTACACATGCTTTAAATATGGTAACCTAAAATCTCTTTATAATTAGGTCAAAAGTTCAGAATAAAATGCTAAAGGAAAAGTACAGCAGGGGCTTCCCTTAAGAAACACATATCAAAATGTTAAATTTTCCTTGAAAATAGGAACAGTGAGCTGGAACAATGGAGCACAAGCAAGAGTGGATACATAAGTCATTGATGGCAACAGATCTTTTTTATTACAAATTACATACAACAGCAGGGAACACCCAGTGTTAAAAGATAACACATGCATATCCGCATATTGACACATGTTCTTTTTTTAAATCTGGACTCCTGTGTTGGTGTTTTCATTGGCAGCAGGAAAATAAATTTTGCCTAATCTCTGATTTTCATTCCAGATAACACCTTCCTTTTTCCAGCTGCCAGTAGTTACAAGGATGTCAAGCAAGAGAAGTAGCTTACTGGTATGAACTGGTGCCTTGGCCTCGCAAATCTCATAGTCCTGACTCCTGATAAGCTGTGCTGTTTCCTTTGTGGGGTATGTACCTTCAGTTTTAAGGGGTTTACCTGCATGAGCAAGACTTATGGAACTGAGATCTTTGTGAGGAAAACCATAAATGCTGTGTACTCAAATGAACTTTCTGTGCTATAAAAGCATATCATTAATTCCTTTTGTGTCATACTTGTGTTTATGTATGTGGGGCTAAACCTTATTGTGATTGCAAAATCAAAGGGAAACCACTCAGGAGCTTCTAGGATTAACGTTTCATTATGCCTAACATCCATCCCTTCTTCCACTACAGATTCACATGTTTTGAAACAAAAAAACACTATTTGGTGGTTAACACATCAAAGTTTGGGGGGGTTCGGTGATCACAGTAGTATGCAAAGCAAATGCAGAAACATCCATTTTGAGGTGTTTTACACATAACTTTTCTCAAATGCCATCCCTGCCAGCAGGAGTCTGAAACAGACAGTTGCAGCTAAACCAAACCAAAAAAATCTCTTCTTGAACTGTAAAAATAGGATCGCAGGAGACTATGAGAACTCCTTGAATCCACTATCCCTGACTGTTCTGACCAGATGATTGTCTACTCTCTTCTTAAAAACCCCCACTGATGGAGATTCCACATCCTCCCCAGGCAGTCTTTGAGTGCTGAACTAAGCTTCCCACTAGAAAGCTTTCCTAGCGTCACATTTGCATCTCCTTTGTTCATTGAAGCCATTAATGCTGTCTCAGTTCCCTGCTTTGCCGTGTAGGTGAAGCTTACAGTTTCCTGTCTGCCTTCTCATTCACAGATTAAATCTTCCCCATCCCTTTGATCATACCCTGCTGCACACTTTCTCTAGATCTCTTCCTTGAAGTGGGCTACCAAAATTGGATGCACTAATCCAGACCATGTCCTACCAGCACTTCACAGAGAAGTTTCATAAATTTCTTTTAATCTATTTATATATAGCTTAGTATGACATTTAGCTTCACCCATCTAAGGATGGCCTTTGGCTTTTTTGTGACAGAGCAGTACTGTAACAGGAATGGCAAACCTGTGGTTGCTGAGCCACATGCAATTTGCAAGTGGATCACGTATAGCTTCTCTGTATCAGGCTGCATAGGGTACCTGGAAGCATTCCCTGTGAGTACATCCAGACAAATGGCTCAGGCACTGGAATTTGTTCCTTTAGACTGTAGTGTAGAAGACTTGTTTTCAATTTGGATCAAAACCTGCAGTACTCCTTAAGAAACCATGCTTGAAGAAACTGGGATGAACCCTGCAAATGAAGGCTGCCAAGGAATCAGCTAAGCTACCATTATAAGACAGGGCACTGTTTTCCCTGACCATCCCTGCTACAGAGAGTAAAATCTAGCCAAACACTCTCCATTTGTAGTACTTCTATTTCACTACAAAGGCAGCACTGTCAAGCCAGAAATTGGCTAAACTGAAAGTATCTAAAGGGACAATTTCTGCTGAGTTAAGCCCATTGGGTATCACTGGGATGGGGAAACAGGACCACCAAGGAAAGAATCTCTGGGATCCACTTCTGTGATGCATAACAGAAAACACTGACTGGAGGCAGGCTTAGATACAAAGTACTGAGCTGGTGTGTTAACAAACAGAACCAAAGAGTTGCACAGCTCCATGAGAAGCCTGTGAGGGCTGCTTGTCTACAGACACGCGTGTGCATCTGTACACAAGCTCTTCTCTATTAGAACAACCTTTGAATGAATAAATACTGATAAGAGAGGCTTAAATATTGTGCCTGAACTATGTTTTGACAGCTGTCGCTTGTACTGTCCCCTCCCAGGTCTATCTTTTAATTACATCAAGTTAACAGTGTTTCATCTGTCACCCTGTGCTGGTAGCAGAAAGGGACAAATTCAGCCATGGGATGAACAGATTTAGCTTTTCTCGCTGCCATGACACAGTGTTTGCTACTCTCCACTTGAATCACTTACTAACCATAGGGAGTTATCATGGTTAGAAAAAGAAATGGCTTGTCTAAGAGTTGAGCAGTGGTTCAGGGAATTGGCATGTGACAATGTAGTCCAGCAGCTAAGGAATTTTTAGTGCATCTGCTCCATGTGATGTAATTCTAAATCCCAAGGGACAACTGTATTTTCATCAACTAAAGGGGTTTTGAGAACTGACTAGAGAATGAGAAAAAAAAGTAGTCTTAGCAACTGAGTGATTACTTAAGCTATGTTTGCATCTTTCCATAGCTACTTGAGTGTTGCTGCAGATCCAAATTGCTGAACTATTCTCAAGAAAAAAAATGGAGCGCCTTCAAGATTAATGTTTCCTCTGTGTGCTGACTGATAGATGGGAGATGGAAGTAGTTACCTTTAGTGACACATTTATGGAGGTTAGGTCAGTATGCTGGGGGAGTGATTCAGTATCACACATCTGCAGGTATAGGTTCCACAGTGGTGCTGGGATCTCGGATGTAAATGAGGAGTCTTGGGAATACTCTGCAATGGGGCTGCCTGCTGGAGAACAAAAAGTGAAATTAATTCAAAGAAAAAAATCCTCTAACAGCTTGGAATATAGCTTATTTTTAAAATTACCCTGGAAAATGAATTTCCTTTGGAAAATCTGTTACTGGGAAGATCTCTGAATAGACTCTTTGCTGATTGTTGCAGAACTGTGTTAAGATGGAGCAAAATATAGCATAGTACAAGAAATGTTATAGCTTGTGTGTATAAGCTCAGAGTATTGCAAGGTTTTGTAAATACCAAGTTTCTAAATTTAAGGAAGACTGGTTAGATTATTCACTACTTTCTGCCATGTATGGATGTGCACTAAGAGAAGGCAATGTGCACACTTAGTAGTTTCTTTGAGATGGATCATTAAATAAGAATAATGACATTCATGACAGTGATAATTCACTAGAGCTGAAAATCTGTTATCCTTTTGAACCAGATTTTATTTTCTGTTTCTCTCCTCCCATATCCAGGAAGGGGAGAGGAAGGGAAACATCTCCCTGTTTGTTCTGGGTTTTTTTATGAACTAAAAGGAGGAGCAGTTCCACTTCCATGCATTTCTTCCAGCTCCAGGCACCTCACCAAAGGCCACTGTGGTGGAGGTAGGTCTGTCTGGCCGTTAGCCTGACAGCTTTCATGGCCAGACAGCTCGTGGTGAACGTACCCAGGACAGACCACACCTAGGGGCTGATGTCAAACAAGGATATTGCAAAGGACCGTCACTACTACGTGTTGGCATGAAAAACTGCCAGTTTTTGATTTCTGTCACACAAAGCTTTACCATTTTGTTCTTTTCTTATTTATATGCTAACATTCCTGTGTTTGCTTTGAGATAGTTCAGACGCTACTGAGGTAACAGACACAACACAGGTAACTTTTCTCAGAGAAGGATGGTCTCTTGTGTTCATGTCTGAGCTGGCAGATTCCTTTTTTCTTTTAATGTGTTTCTGTTTTTTCTTCATTTTGAGATACCATTTGTTTCAGGAGCAGATAGCTTACCCTACTCACCATCCCTGCCATGGCAGGCCTCCTATTTCCATTCTGGACTGCAGTCTCACACACAGTGAGGGAGGAAACCTTAGATGACTGAGGATTCTCTATTCAGAGAAAAATGTCCCTTAAAGGGATTTTTTCCCCTCTTCCTGGAAGGGGTTGTCTGCAGGTCAGGTGGGTGAGTTGGAATGAATCACAGAGGAGAATGAACAGGCAGTTTGGGGTCATCTTTTTTCTACCTCCTGTGTCTCCTTCAATTTGCCAGTCTCACTGAAGTTAGATCTTTCAAGATCTTTCCTAAGAGCAAAAGGAGGTAAGAAAGAGTATCTCTCAGCTTTTCCCTAGTTGTCAGCCAAAAGCTGGTCAGGCTTCAGCACCTGTGAAACTGTGAGGAGTCATTTCGCTGCTTCTGTGCTACTTTCTGCTCACCTTGGTGAAAAGCCTCCTTTCTTTTGTAGAAAGGAGAAACTACCTGAAATGTTGTGCAAGCTGACATAAACCCAGATCACCTTCCTGGAGAGAGAAGAGGTTTGTGACAGCACGAGGGATACAGACAGCCTTCCACAAATATGCTGCACACTGCAAATTTGAGACTTCACTGCAGCAAGAAATGAAAGGCTGGGGTATGCAGCATGGACTGTGGCTGCTTTGGAGACTTCACCTCCCTACAGCCATTTAACCTTGCACAGGATCTTGTCTTGAGGGCCCTTTTGCAGCTAGATTCAGTAGAGCAGTATTTCTATTGTAGCGACAGCACTGGTTCACTGTTGCTCACTATCCCAAGAAGTGACAGCCCTGCCAGAGCTGCTCTGCTGCAGATAGGCAACTGCAGATGTACTGAGGAGCTGCTAACATTGCTGCAAGCAGCATTAACTTTGACTGAAATACATGCTGGTCGTTAAGGGTTATGCCCTTTCCAGGGACTGCTCACTGGCTCCTCTGAACCTTGCAGATACCAAATTTTGCAATGATGCTATGGAAGATATCCTGCAAACTCACCAGGAATATGGGGCAAAGTTCTCTCCCATCTCATCTATGCTTTCATCTTGTCCTTTCTTCCAGTTTGCAGAGCCCTTTGCTCCGTTCATTGCTGTGTAGTAGATAGGAACATTTGGGTTTTTGCAATCAAAGCAGCTGTGGGGGTCTCCGTGGGATTATTTTTACATGCAAGCATTGCACAAGTCCAGCTCCAGGAAAAGAGGCCAGTATTTTCTTTAACACATGCTGGCATAAAATAGGAACAACTCTTCTAAAAGCTTAGAGACTGAGATGGCCTTGGATTAGATCCAAGGACCTCAGATTAATTACAAAACTAAACCAGAATGAATGTTCTTTTATAGTTCTGCTGCACAATGGTCCCTGGACTTACTGAACCTGCATGTCAAATATATAGATAAGGATGATCTGTACTGAAGCAGAAAAAAGGGCACATTTGCCTAGCTGTGAATTAAGGGTCTATCCTTTGCTGAATTCTGCTGTTACTTCACTGTATTTGAACAAATGTAAGAGCAAAATCATATCTGATACTGAGGAGAGAAGATTGCAATGCAAATTCAGCTTGTTTTACTCAGGCTTGTTCCTTTGCCAGAAATTTGCCTCTTCTCTCCTTAAAGTGATGCTATAACGTTTCTTGTTCTACAGAAAGTTACAGTGCATGCAACCAAGGTAATCCGTCCTCCTTCTTTTTTAGAGGCTGTCAGGGTAGAGCTTCTATTAATGTTTTAAGTTTTAACTTGCAGAGTAAGAACCTGAATAAATTGTAAAGAACACCCGTTGCCTTTCAAAAAGACATGAACAGTCCTTTCATGCTTTTCGTAACGGCAGCATGCGTTGGAAATAAGGTTACATCTATTTGAGTAATTATGACCGAGGCAACTCAGGCAGCACAAACTGCAGGCAGCTTTCCAAGCAGAGAAAAGAGCTGGGGCCTGCAGCATTTTGGGAAAGACAGCATTTGTGAACAAGAGGAGCCTCAGGACCTACACTTGCCAGGAGCCACTCGTTCACACAGAAGTACTTACATGTAGGCTGATTGACACTGTCTTACCCACCAAAGAGGAAGCATCTCCTGCTGGCTTCCTACCAGCACACAGAGTCTCTAATTTAGGAAAGCAAAGTACAGTCTTGTATGCCAGTCCTGAAAAGCTACCATCCCTGATGTGGGAACAAGGATGGGCAAATCTGAATAACTCTAGCCAAGAATAAAAGCACACTCGCTTCTAACTGGAAACAATTTCAATGCATGGTGAGATGGAGGGACTTTGTTCAGCCTGGAAGAAACTCAGGAAGACCTGATTTCTGCCTCCAGCAAGGAGGGCTGAGGAGATGGAGCCAGGCTCTTCCCAGAGGTGCACAGTGATGGGCACACAGTGGCATCAATCACACACTACAATGACAAAAACACCAGCTCAGTACAGGGATAAAAATGTCACATCCAGAGGGATGCAGCATGCGGCCACATTGCTCAAGGAGTCAGCTGATTGGAGCTAGCCCAGCTAGAGCCGCAGCCGGCACGCTACAGCGACCGCGATCTTCTACCGAGATTAGGAAAATCAGAGGGGATAGCGCAGAGGCATCGCGATTCCCGACGTTTCCCGACGTTTCCTGATTCCCGAAGTCCCAGCAGCCCTTGCGAGAGAGCGGCTGATGTGGCGGGGGGGGGGCATTCCCAGGGTGAACGGTGACCACGCCCCTGCGCCTTGACTCGAAAGAGCCTTTGAGAGGGCAGCGATGCCCACCAGGCGCAGGGAAGCACAGGTAGGTCGTTTTGCTGACCAATATGATCGTCTCCAGAAAGAGAGCTAGCAGTAAGAGGGCTGTAGCAACTCAGATACAGACCCCGGCCCTAACCGTGGCTGTTCAGGTCTCTGGATGCAGGGAGTGCCAGAGCCTGCTACTGCCGGGGGAGGGAGGACAGCATTCCACCTGTGAGAGGTGTGAGCAGGTAGAAGATCTGCTCAGCTTGGTGGCTAAACTAAAGGAGGAGGTTGAGACGCTGAGGAGCATCAGGGAGTGTGAAAGGGAGATCGACTGGTGGAGTAACTCCCTGGCTGGCCAGTTGGAACGGCTCCAGGGAGATACCCCCCAAAAGGGGATGGACCCCCTGCCCTCTCAGACAGAGGGGGATGGCCCGAGACAGCCCCTGTCCTGTAGCTGTCGCCCAGAGGTAGGGGACCAAAAAGATGATGAGGGTTGGAAGCAAATTCCGGTTCGGCGTCGTGGGCAGCCCTCCTCCCTTCCTGCCCCACTTCCCCAGGTGTCCCTCCGTAATAGGTTTGAGGCCCTGGATCTTGAAGGAGAGGTAGGTGAGGATGTGGTGCAAGGCCCACCTACAAGGCCACATAGGAAAAAGCGGTAGACTTCACAGCTCAAGACTGCCTCTGGTAAGAAAGAAAGAAGGGTCATTGTAGTAGGTGATTCCATTCTGAAAGGAACAGAGGGCCTGATATGCAGAGTTGACCCTCATCATAGGGAAGTGTGTAGTTTGCCTGGAGCCCGGATCAGGGATATCACCAGGGCGCTCCCCAACCTGGTGCACCCGACAGACTACTACCCGCTGCTGGTCTTCCAGACGGGTGAGGGGGAAGCTGCTTCCTGCAGTCTGAGGGGGATGAAGAAAGACTACAGGGCCTTGGGGCGGATGGTGAAAGACTCTGGGGCTCAAGTGATCTTCTCTTCACTCCTTCCATCTTCCACTGATGATGTGGGACTGAATGGGAAAATTCAGTCCATAAACGATTGGCTTCGAGGCTGGTGCTTCAGGCAGGGCTTTGGATTCTTTGATAACAGCTGGTTTTATAGGGCACCAGTCTGGACGTTGGCATGTGGGAAAGGTTTATCGCACAGAGGCAAAAGGATGCTGGGGCATGAATTAGCAGGGCTCATTTGGAGAGCTTTAAACTAGATTCGAAGGGGGATGGGGTTGTAGCTGGGCTTGCCTCAGTGGGACAGTGCTCCGGAATTGATGGAGACTGGGAGGCCTCCTGTAATCCTAGGGTGAAATCGGTGTGCTC